AATAAGTAGTAAGTTCGTTTGTTACTTCAGTTTTATAAAAAAAAAGCGCCAATTAATCGCCACTTTATAGAAATTTCTGTATATGAAGCATCCGTATGACCATAGAGTAGTGAATTTTACAGGATTTCTGCCTATCACGTATAGCATTAATATTAAAGCTTGCAATTGTCGTAATATAATCCAATATCGTTCAATGATCACATGTAAAGAAAGAGATAAAGCAGATCTAAAGAATTTTGTTTAATAAATCGTTGAATATGACGTCACAGGATTACGTACGCCCGTATGTTTACGGTATCTGTGTAAAAGATAAGAAAGATAGTCAACATTTTGATGCTATCGCCCTTAGGCTGGCTTAATCATAAGGTCCGAGCGAGGCTTTCGTCTATATTATCAGATGTTATCGAAAATCGTACTGTTTTTAAGAAGCGTACGAATCGTATTAATCAATAAGATGTTACAATGTTATCAAAGAGGTGTTGTCACCACTTTGAAATTTTTTTTTATACTAGGGTAAGGTTGAAACGAGCATACAGGCCACTTGGATAAGTGAATGCTCATAGACAACTAAATTTATTATCATCGATTAAAATCAAAATGCTGATGCGCTGTCATCGAACGAACGAATACGAAACACAGCAGTATTGTGCTGCTATTTTAAACTGGTATTTATTGTGAGAGCGTTTGAATCCTGGCCCAGCAGACACATTCATGTTGCAGTCATATTACAGCTGTAGCTCTATAAGCTATGACTCTGGAGGTTAAATAAAATCGAAGGAAGGGAGAGGAATGCCAAATAATATTATATACGTGGTAGAGCCATGCTGCAGCTATTTATGGTTGTAGTACGAATGGGTCGGCTCGACCGGGGAAGGACCACGCTCTCACAGAATACCAGCGTAAACTAGCAGCATTACGTTGCTGTGTTTCGTATGGTGAATGTAGAGATCCGGAGACCCTTTTTAGTGGAAACGAGGCATTCCATCTTAGTCCTCACGGGTGACAACGCATTTGCATTTTGATTCGTAATCGAAGATAGATGTAGATGTCTATGGGCCACAGAAACCACTTACCATCAGGTGGATTGTGTGCTCGTTTGTCACCCTTATTCTATAAAAAAAAAATAAGTCTTGTGACCTCTGGACTAACTATTTAGATCTTGATTTTCTGGGCTTAATGTGTGATCAGTAATCCGACTTTCTAGCGTAGTGATTACGGAAAATCATGTATTCTTATGAGAAGCAAGAACAAATTAAGGGCTGATTATATTGACAACGATAACATCAAAACGTTTGGATGCAGAAGAGTTACGCGCTTGACAGTCTAGTTAGCAAAACAAGTATGAATGTAAAAGTAGGGCGTTGCCAATATTTTGTGTAATATCAACAGGACAAGACGGGATTAAGGGTATAGTAAGAATAACATAAGTACCGTGTAGTGGCCAGCAGCGTCTTCCTACTAACGACTAAAAATAAAAAAAAAACCTACCAAGCGTGACAACTACGGCAAATATATATATATATATATATATATATATATATATATATATATATATATATATATTCATTGCAATCAGTTTAGTAGTTTAAGAGTTCATCGCGGACAAACAATGTGACACGTAATTTTTATATATAAAGATATAGGTCTATGTTTAGCAGTAGACTTTAATAGGCTGTATCGGTAACGGTAAACATTTTAATGTCACGTCAAACCAATACGTGTACAACGTAGATGCGAAATACGGCGGTCCGAGTCCATTAAATGTAGCTAGCCTTTTACGAGCCATTTCATAATCTAATAATCCGTTTTTATCTGAACACGGCGCAATATGACACGTGTAATATTAAGCAACAGACGCGCCGCGCCATGTTTACTTGTACGAATTGATTGATGTTAACTGTTGTTCAAGCTCGCCCCTGCAATGTTTTCGGAAGACTGAACAACTAAAGCACTCGCGTGGGGGAGCGCTCAATCGCGGTTCCGTAGGTACTCCGTAATAATATTATGTATATGTATATTTGTTGAAGTTTTGTAGTTTGCCCGGCATATAATTAGAAGCGTGTTTATTTTTGTTTTGCTGTGTGACCTTAGAACGTTCTTGCAACGAAATGTAAAAATAAGTAAACATGACCAAGTAGTTAATCAGATTGTGACTGAAGATCATTAACCATTTTTCCTTTTAATTTAATATTTTAATGGTTTCCTTGTATTATTTGGGCAAAAATAGGGGTGTTATATGTTTAACGTGTGTATCTGTGTGAAATAAAAAGAGTTAATGGACCTTCAAAAATTTTTCAGCCGTTTGAAGGTCAATTAGCTCTTTTTATTTCAGCCATGCATCTATAACAACCTGTGAAAATTCTGTGGAACATAGGTCTCCACAGATACTGCCTCACAAGCGAGACTTTGCCACGGTTGCGACGCTTGGCAAGTGTGTTGGTAACCGCAGTGTTTTTATTATTTTGCTTTGTTGTCAGGCACATGATGATTTGATCGAGATGAAATTTTAAGTAAAACACTAGTTAAAACCGCCAGAAAAGCGTAGCAATTGCTGCAAACCCTTTTTACACAATTAAGCGAAGCACAATTTGTGCTGCATAATATTATGTATTATGCAGCACAAATGAGTCGACTGGAATGGCGAAGGACCATGTTCTCATAACATATCAGTGTAGAAGTGGTAAAATTAAAAATGTTGTAAAATCGACTCAATATAAATAAAATGAGAACACCATCAATGTAGTCGAAGTCAATTAAATACGCATTATTAAGGATAACTCCAAAACTACTGTCAGATCTTAATGAAATATATTGGACCACACGAGAAGCACCAGCTTTCAAATAAAAAAAGAATCATAGAAATCGGTTCACCTAGGCTTCTTCCTTCTGAGGAGTAATACACATAAACAAACTACAGTCGAATTAAGAACCTCCTCCTTTTTTGAAGTCGGTTGAAAAGCAGCTTAATACCGCCGTTTTAGTACACTGCTGCTAATGTTTCGTATGGTGGGTGTAGAGAACCGAAGTCCCTTTTTAAATGGTAACGAAGCATTACATCTAAGTACCTAGGGCTGTCGCTATAGGGAATATAAGGTTAACGTATCTGCATTTTGATTCAAATCGATTTTAGATGTAGGTGTCTAAGGGGTTAGTTACTTCTTAGTGGCAAATCATTTTTTAAAAATAATATTTACTATATATAAACTGTTTTGACCCTTTTAGATCTTTTTGTTAGATTAATAGACTTACAATAACTTTAAGTACAGTAACATAAATATTATTGAAATAAAATAAACGGGCACAAACGCGCAGTGATCGCTAAATCAAAAATCCGCTTTGAATGAGTATTCCTTTCAACGTAAAGCGAGAAGAGGCAGCTGTTGTTTTATTAAACCTCTTAACAAAACGTTCAAAGTTATATCGCTTTGTTGATGAGAATAACCTTGTTTAATGTAGCATTTTCAGTCGTAAACATGTCTGATTCTTTCCTTAAGGCCCTAATCGAAAGGCGAGCCATAAGCTTGTGGCAAAGAAAACGGCGGTTGTACTTCCAGCTTGACGTTCCTGGTACACTGGCGAGCCAAACAGTTATTGTTTAGTTTGATTAAGCACCGTACCAAATTTCATATAACGCTTGCGACCAGCGAGCCTCGCTCGTTGGCTCACAAAACCGCTGTTTTGCGATGTTCAACCATCGAGTTGTACGAGCGTGTGGCGACAGCGAGTCTCCAAGACCGTTAGCCCATCGATCAGGGCTTTAAACCCTTTTATGTCAGAACACTTATACGAAATAAAATTCCAAGAGCGCAGCACGTATGCTTTGTGGTACCAGTTATAATATTTTATATTATTTAACATTCCATATAGGACTTTATAGAAAACGCCGCACCATCTGCGTTCATATGCACTACACATTGAACGACGGCGGTGCGACATTTGCATACATTACTACTGATGACGCAACAAACACAACACTGTGTATACGTGCTGTTCACACAAATAGCGTGACCCGGCAATCAGGGTTTAAAAGGTGTCGTTATCACGTTATTTTATAAATATGAAAGTATGGGAAAAGCTTCTATAATTCCTTAATGCCGTGTAAAAGTAGCTTACACATCACTGCTTTGCCGACACGTGCCGGCGCCTGAGTGCCGGGTGGATTGCAATAGTAAATAAAAATTACTCTATTCATTTTTTATCAGACTTTTAGATCCACTTCTAGAAAGTTATGCCCTTCCAAGAATGTGCCAAATAGAGCATTTTGAAAAAATACACCAGCCTGTTTCCCATTAATATTTTCAATCTTTATATACTTAAATAACATTTTAATTAAAAATACGGAAGTGTAATGAAACTAATAAAAAGTTGGTAAACTTCCGTACTAAAAAAGAGTACGGAAGTTTAAAGGGGCACATCATAAGGTCTATGGTCTATGGTGCTAAAACCTTTTCGGAAACCGGTTTGTTCGGAAGGCTGGAAGTCGTCGAGTGTGCATGCGAGACGATTCGTAATGACTCTCCAAAACAACACGTAGACGCGGCTCAGAAGGGAAATCGGTATGTAGTTCTTCAAGAGAGTGTTGTTGCAGCTCCGCTGTAATTTCATCCTCGCCTGGGGCCCTGCCGTTTTAAAGGTGCTGGAGAGCCACTCTAATCTCGCTCAGACTGACTTCCGGAAATCATCGGAATAGTGTCGGATAAGACTTACTCTTGGATCGTTACTCACACTTGCGTGTAGCTCCAACGATTATGTGTACAGCTGCCCATAGAACCTCTCAATCTCACTTAAATTCTCAGGTATCCCGGAAACGACACTGCCACACTAAAGGGCCACATCCAACATAAAATTAAACTTCTAATAAAAAGTAAGTCAACTTAAAATAACTAAAAATTGTAAAAATAGATAAATTATTTCCACATAACTTTTTTAAGTCTGTGCTAATACATCATAGTGTTTAGAAAAATTAGCTATCTGACAACAAAATAAAAAACATGTCTCACCTGGAGTGCCTTCAGCATAGGCACCTTGTCGAGCAACTCCTCGTAGAGTTTGCGCTTCTTGAAGGCGCTCTTAAGCAGGATGCGACGGAACGTAGTTCGGTTCATGGCCCAGAGTGCGCCGGCAGTCTGGGCGCGCACCGACGCCGCCCGAGGCATGTTGTACATCAGCGCCAGTTCGCCGAACGAGCCCGAGCCCTCGTACGTGTGCACCACCTAACCAACACCACCATATTAAATGCAAACTTCAATGGTGAAACAGTTTATCAGTGTAGTCCCTACAGATGTCAAGATTTTCTTAAACTATTTTTTTTTTCAAAAATCCATTGCGGTTACGTAAGCAGCTCGTATTTTTTTTAGAAAAAAAAAAGAAACAAATCGGTTTATATTTCGATAAGCAATAAGTAAAGTTTACAGCTTATATTACACACCTACAGCTGGGCACAGGCCTATTTCCATTATCGAGTGGGTTGTAGATCAATAAGTCCGCCGCGCTGCTCCAATGCATGTTATCGTAGCACTTAGGCTCAGAGCACACAATAAACAATATTATTAACGTATCCTGACCTATCACAGCTCAATTTCTAGGCAAGTTGCTAGTCGGTAAGTAAATAAATTAAATCATGAGGCTTTGATTTATTATAGTGTACCGCGCATTCGCGCGAGTACTTTAATTTACGTGGTAGAGCCACGCTGCAGCTATATTATTAGTATAGTTATAGCACGAATGGGTCGGCTCGACCGGGGAAGGACCACGCTCTCACAGAATAGCAGCGTCAAATAGCGGTTTAACACTGCTGTGTTTCGTATGGTGAGTGTAGAGAACCGGAGACCCTTTTTACTGGAAATGAGGCATTCCATCTTGGTCCTCACGGGTGACAACGCATCTGCGTTTTGATTCGCAAACGAAGATAAATGTAGATGTCCATGGGCCGCAGCATCCACTTACCATCAGGTGGACTGTGTGCTCGTTCGTCACTCGATCCTATAAAAAAAAAATGAAGGCGATATGATGACAAATAACCAGCACTTTATTCATACGGTCTTTTTATTCATAATATTTAGCTGCGTGAAAAATCCCATGAACCATTTTAATATCCTAATTTTAATTTATGAGTAAAAGTAAAACTAAAAAAATTACCAAATTATAATTATGGATTATTACGAGTTCTTGCTCTGTAAACATACAGAGATGTAAATCGTCGGAATGACCTTTTGATCAAATTTAAACTTCCTCCCAGTTTAATTTTCAAGTATGACGAGCGACGTAGGCGCGGACTGTCTGTGACGCAAACCTAATTGCAATCGTAATGAATAAGAAATACATATATACCTATATACATAATTTAAATGTATTATTTAAAAGTGCATTAACTATAAATGCTAATGATAATATTCTCTATATAATAAACAGTGTATAATGTATATATATTAAGCGCTTTTTACGAAACATACAGTAGACCGTTCACAATATGGACCATCTCATCTATACAAATAAATAAAATTGAAGTGTCTGTTTGTAATGTCAAAATAACAACTTTTGCTAAATACATATGAAAGTATAAACGGTACTTATAACAAAAACAATTTTTAAAATTTTTGTCTGTCTGTCTGTTTGTTCCAGCTAATCTCCGAAATGGCTGAACCGATTTAGACGGGACTTTTACTAACAGATAGCAGATTTTATAAGGAGTAACTGCTACTTTTATTCCAGAAAAAGAATTAGGGTTCCGCGCAAAAAAATTAAAACCCATGAAATCCAATCGTAATTAATTTCACGCAGGCGAAGTCGCGGGGAACAGCAAGTTTATAATAAACCATATGACGGCATAATGACCGGCTGCCGAAAGCTGAGCGCGCCAGTGAAATTCCATAAGCTCTGTTTAAAGCGTCGCGTCGCCAAGTTACGTGCGTGTGTAAATACCATATAACTAATTTTATTTCAGTGTGCCTATATTTAAGAGTTATATTTGTGCTTTCAAATGAGACTTTGAGTAACTGAGTTTTTGTTTGCAGACAAAAAATGTTAAGAATTTTTAGGATTTAGAATAAATGGATGTATCTATAAAACATTGTGGATGTATTAGTAAACATATATTTTATACCACAAAACACGTAATTTATTTGTTGTAAAATAGTAAATGCATTCAGGTTATATATAACGGCTCGATGGGACTTGCGTTTAGCTGCGAGCATTGAAAAGTCAGCAGAAGCCTTTGAAATTTTCATGCGAATTTGTAGCTAAATAGTTGCTGAAAATCCGATTTTGTAATTCAAACCGGTTCAGCAAAAAACAAGTTAACTTTTTTTTTGCTGAACCGGTTTGAATTACTTATCTTGTTATCTTTTCATCAAGCTAGCAGTAAAGTAACAAACTGTAAATTTAAAAAAAAATGCTTATCAAAATCCCCGTGTTACCGTAGCATGCGCACCGGTAACTATACATACAGGTTGTCAGGTGCGGGTGCGGGTGCGGCCAATTCTCGAAGAATTCCTTATTTTTTTTAATACTGTTTCCCAGCAACTATTCTAATAGTAATAGAATATAATAGAGCTTTGTATGCGGCGCTCGGACGCACAGAACAAGTATTTTATGATCCAGAAAGAAGTGTTTCGTTCCGGGTCTGGGATGTTTATCCATGTCCATTTTATATAGGTATCTAAAAAGCCTCCACGATACTGGCGAAATTCCTAGTGGGGGTAATGTATAAAAAATACGAGGGATAATTTAAATTTTAACAAGGAGTACATTTCAATATAGCCGTTTGTATATTGTGGTTGTAGCACTAAAGGGTCCGCTCGACCGGGGTAGGATCACGCTCTCATAGATAACCAGCTTAAAATAGCAGCTTAATGCTGCTGTGTTTCGTATGGTGACTGTAGAGAAACGGAGACCCTTTTTACCGGAAACGAGGCATTCCATCTCAGTCATCAGGTGTGAAAGACGCATCTGCATTTGCAACTGAGGATAAATGTAGATGTCTATAGGTCACAGCATCCACTTACCATCAGATGGACTGTGTGCTCGTTTGCCCCCTTATATAAAAAAATATAAGATAATTTTTAATTTACCTAACATTGAATTAATCTTATCTAATATCGAACTAAGGCTTAGTTTTAATAAGTCCATTGTTAGTTAATAAAAATGGTCTCCGGTTCTCGTAAGACATCACACGAAACACAGCAGCATAGAACGTGTTGATAAATTTAAGAACCTAGGGCATTTTGTTACCGATGACCTAAACGACAACGTTTACATTAAAAGGGAACGTAGGGCGCTGGCAGTCCGATGTAGCATGCTGGCAAGTAGCTTTGCGCGGTGTAGTGGACAAGTAAAGATAACATTATACAAAGCCTACTGTCAAGTTTACTACACGTGCAGCCTGTGGTCGAATTATTCACAGCGGACTGTCGACGCCTTACGAGTCCAGTACAATAATGGCTTCAGGATTTTGTTGGGGCTACCCCGATTTTGCAGTGCATCAGGTATGTTTGCAAGGACGCATACGGTGACTATTACGCAATTTTTTTTTTTTTTTTATAGGATAGGGTGACAAACGAGCACACAGTCCACCTGATGGTAAGTGGTTGCTATGACCCATAGACATCCACATTTATCCTCAATAAAGAATCAAAATGCAGATGCGTTGTCACCCGTGAAGTCTAAGATGGAATGCCTCTTTTCCAGTAATAAGGGTCTCCAGTTCTCTACACTCACCATACGAAACACAGCAGTGTTAACGTGCTATTTTACGCTGGTATTCTGTGAGAGCGTGGTCCTTCCCCGGTCGAGCCGACCCATTCGTGCTACAAATATACTATTAATATAGCTGCAGCATGGCTCTACCATGTATGAATATATTATAAGAAAGAAAACAGCCTCGTTGCTTGGCAGAGTGCGGGCTAGCTCCAACTCCATCATGAAAAAAATTGCTGAAGTTACTCCTTATAACATTAGTTACCTGCCAGTGAAAGTCCCGTCGAAATCGGTACAGCCGTTTCGGAGATTAGCCGGAACAAACAGACAAAAATGTTAAAAATTGTGTTTTTGTTATAAGTACCCTATATACTTTCATAATATGCATTTAATAAAAAACTGTTATTTTGCTATTACTAACAGACACTTCAATTTTATTTATTAGTATAGATTAGTATTTAAGAATTAGATTTAGGTACTATCATAGGTTATAAATTTTTATATTTACTAACAAATTTTATGGATTACTATTTCACTCAGAAATTTCGTGCGAATGTGGTCTTCTCCTGGTTGTTCTAAACACACAGCCCATAACGCACTTTCTTTTTCATATACTACAAATATTGATGTTCGTCACAATGGGTCTGGCCACCCAATTTTGTTAAGGGTATCAAAAAATTGTATAAAAAATTACGAACTCAACGGTATTCTTATTCATTTTCTACCTTTAAAAATGACTGAAATATTGATGAGTAAAATGGTGTTTTACGGTAAGGGCGACCGCTTTGCTCCACATCGCGATGTGACGTCACAAAACGACACGTCGATGCCACCAGTAGTCTTCATTGTTATATTTTTCTTATTGTCTCTATATTTATTACTCCATATATTTCTTGTCATGTTATTTATTTATCAGTAACCTTTATTTTCTGGGTTTTTCTTTAATTTCTGTTATATCACGCTCCTTGGGAATAAAATGGTGACCTAAGATACAGGTTTTACCTAGTTTAGGCACCAGTTTTTCACATAACAATTGTAATGTATCAGATGTAAGCACATATTTTTTGTTTTCTGAATGTATATTATTGGTGAAAATAAAAAATAAAATGAAATAAAAATAAATTTATTTTACTGGAAAAAAATCATATAAAAGCTAAATGTTCAATACTTTAGCTTATACATTAAATCAAATAGTTTATTTGTGATTCACAGTTTACATAAAGGTCTTATTTAAACACAAATAAAGTTCAGTCTGTGATCAGCCTCATGGGCATTATCATCATCATCATTACAGCCCCTCATTAGTCCACTGCTGAACATAGGCCTCCCCCAAGGAATGCCACAAAGCACGGTCCACCTGCCTCCACAAGCCACCTGCATCCATCGACTTCCTGCATGTCTTACCAGGTCGTCACTCCATCTAGTGGGGGGTCACCCTACACTTCGCCTACCGGTACGGGACTGCCACTCGAGAACCTTTCTTCCCCATCGGTTGTCGGTTATTCAAGCAATATGGCCGGCCCACTGCCACTTCAGCTTACTAATTCGTTTGGCTATGTCAGTTACTCTGGTTCTACTGTGGATATCCTTATTTCTAAGTTTATCACGCAGAGAAACCCCGAGCATAGCCCTCTCCATAACTCGCTGAGCGACCTTGAGCTTCCTCATACGGCCAGCAGTGAAGGACCACGTCTCAGATCCGTAAGTCATCACTGGCAACACGCACTGGTTGTACAATTTCGTTTTCTGGTTTTGAGCTATGTCTAACGAGAAGATGTGTCGTAGTTTCCCGAACGTGGCCCAACCGAGTTGAATCCTCATGGGCATACAAATGTCAAATATTATTAATAGTTCATTGCTTACATTATTCATAATAATAGATTAGATTATTAGATTAAATTATTCATCATAAATAATATTGATTACATTGGATTAGATAAAATTATTTTTCTTCTTATTTTTATTCAGCCGTGTAGTGGCGGTCAAGAATATCCACTACCCCATATCCTCCCGTGGGTGTCGTAAAAGGCGACAAAGGGAAACAGGCAGAAGATGGGCAGCAGCATCTTCCTGATAATAGCCAAAAATTATAATAAAAAAACTGCGGTTGCCAACCCGCTCGCCAAGCGTGGCAACTATGGCAAATACCCCCCAATGACTAAAGCAACAAACAGACGGCCCCCAGTCCCCGGCGGCCCCGCTATTCCTGGCTACGGTGGCGACCATGGTAACGGCGGGGCAGGGGGTGCTAAGAATCTCCGGTGGAGGTTCGGTTGCCACCTTAGACGACTCGACCTGGCAACGTACAACGCACGCACCCTGAGGACTGACGAGAAGATCGTGGAGCTGGAAGAAGAGATAGACAAGTTGCGCTGGCATATTATAGGATTATCCGAAGTCCGAAGAGAGGGGGAGGACACGGTAATCCTCGAATCCGGCAACTTGCTCTATCACCGGGAGGGCGACCATCTGTCCCAAGGAGGTGTCGGATTTATCGTCCACAAGTCTCTCGTTAACAACGTTGTAAAGATCGGGAGTGTGTCGACGAGGGTTGCGTACCTTATACTCAGAAGCACCAAACGGTATTCGCTGAAGGTCATACAGGTTTACGCACCAACCTCGGCACACCCCGATCAGGAGGTGGAGGAAATGTATGAGGATATCTCTAGAGCCATGCATTCCTCCAAAACCCAATATACGGTGTTAATGGGAGACTTCAATGCAAAACTAGGCACAAGAGAGAACGGTGAGCTGAAAGTAGGGAAATTTGGAATAGGGCAACGGAACCCAAGGGGCCAGCAGCTGGCCGACTTCATGGAGAAAGAGGGACTCTTTATGATGAACTCTTTCTTCCAGAAGCGGCCCCACAGGAAGTGGACCTGGTCGAGCCCCGACGGTTCGACAAAAAATGAGATTGACTTCATTATGACGACCAGACGACAACTGTTCAGTGATGTCTCCGTGATCGCAAGGGTGAAAACTGGTAGCGATCACCGAATGGTTAGAGGCACACTGAACCTAAACGTTAAGTTGGAGAGGTCTCGTCTAATGAAGTCAACGCTCCGTCCCCCTCGTGCTCTAATCCAAAGTCCCGAAACCTTTCAGCTCGAGTTACAAAACCGTTTTCAGTGCCTAGAAGACTGCAATGAAGTGGACGATATGAATGACAAGCTCGTGGAAACTGTCCATGCGGTCGGAGCTAAGTTCTGCAAGACCCGCCGCAGAAGAACACAAAAACTCTCCGATCACACTCTTAATCTCATGGCTGTTAGACGGGAGATGAAGCTACATTCTTCAACAGACTTGACAGCATACAGGCATCTGAACAGACAGATCTCCAAATGCATGCGGCGGGACTTACGCAACTTCAATACAGCTCGTATTGAAGAAGCGATCGAGCGGAACCAAGGCTCCAAAGTCTTTGCCAGAGATCTGTCTGCCAGAAAGAGCCAACTGTCAAAGCTGAAGACAGAATGTGGCAGCATCGTTTCCGGGACACCTGAGATTTTGAGTGAGATTGAGAGGTTCTATGGGCAGCTGTACACGTCATCGTTGGAGCCACACGCAAGTGTGAGTAACGATCCAAGAGCGAGTCTCATCCGACACTATTCCGAAGATATCCCGGACGTCAGTCTGAGCGAGATTAGAATGGCTCTCCAGCACCTTAAAAACGGTAAGGCCCCAGGCGAGGATGGAATTACAGCGGAGCTTCTGAAAGCGGGTGGAAGACCGGTACTTGAAGTCCTTCAGAAGCTCTTTAATTCCGTCCTCCATGGTGGCATTACACCGGAGGCGTGGAGCAGAAGTGCGGTGGTCTTGTTCTTCAAGAAAGGTGACAACGCTCTCTTGAAGAACTACAGACCGATTTCCCTTCTGAGCCGCGTCTACGTGCTGTTTTCGAGAGTCATTACGAATCGTCTCGCGCGCAGACTTGACGACTTCCAGCCTCCCGAACAAGCCGGTTTCCGAAAGGGCTTTAGCACCATAGACCACATACATACCCTTCGGCAAGTTGTACAGAAGTCCGAAGAGTACAATTTGCCACTATGTCTGGCGTATGTGGACTATGAGAAAGCCTTTGATTCCGTCGAAATTTGGGCGGTGCTGCAGTCCCTTCAGCGGTGCCAAGTTGACTGTCGGTATATCGAAGTGTTGAAGTGCTTGTACAGTAGGGCTACGATGGCTATCCGAGTACAGAACCAGAGTACGAAACCTATCCAATTGCAGAGAGGTGTAAGACAGGGTGACGTCATATCCCCGAAACTCTTCACCGCTGCATTGGAAGACGTTTTCAAGCTTCTGGACTGGAAAGGGTACGGTATTAACATCAATGGCGAGTACATCACACACCTTCGATTTGCCGACGATATAGTCCTTATGGCAGAATCGCTGGAGGACCTAAGCACTATGCTCAATGACCTCAATAGTGTTTCCCAACGGATAGGTCTTAAGATGAACATGGACAAAACAAAGATTATGTTTAATGTCCATGTCACACCTATGCCGGTAGTTGTTGGGAGCACTAAGCTCGAAGTTGTTGACGAGTATGTTTACCTGGGACAAATAGTCCGACTAGGTAAGTCCAACTTCGACCGAGAGGTCAATCGACGGATTCAACTCGGCTGGGCAGCGTTCGGGAAGCTACGACACATCTTCTCGTCAGACATACCTCAAAACCTTAAAACGAAATTGTACAACCAGTGCGTGTTGCCAGTGATGACTTACGGAACTGAGACGTGGTCCTTCACTGCTGGCCGTATGAGGAAGCTCAAGGTCGCTCAGCGAGCTATGGAGAGGGCTATGCTCGGAGTTTCTCTGCGTGATAAACTTAGGAATGAGGATATCCGCAGTAGAACCAGAATAACCGACATAGCCCAACGAATTAGTAAGCTGAAGTGGCAGTGGGCCGGCCATATAGCTCGAAGAACCGACAACCGATGGGGAAGAAAGGTTCTCGAGTGGCAGCCTCGTACCGGTAGGCGAAGTGTAGGGCGTCCCCCCACGAGATGGAGTGACGACCTGGTAAGACATGCAGGAAGTCGATGGATGCAGGTGGCTCAGGACCGTGCTTTGTGGCATTCTTTGGGGTAGGCCTATGTTCAGCAGTGGACTTGTGAAGGGCTGTAATGATGAGATAAAATTATTTATAAATTATTAGTTCAAAATTATTATATAGTCGTTGGGTTTATTATAAGTATTATGTCATCTAATAACAGTCAACCGGACATTAACTCTGACATTCGATTAAATATGTAGGTAAACGACCGTATACTTCCGAGCGCGCGGTTAGTACTGAACTTAGCAAGTTCCTACTGCACGTTCGCTCTCTCGGATTGTGACGTCACGTCACAGAGAACGAGGTGGTAAAAATTAAAAAAATATTGCGAAACTTCAAAACGTTATAACTTTCGTATTTCTGCACCAATTTGGATGAAACAAAAACTATTGTTATTTTCATAAACATAGCTTTAAAGCTATATAGGTTTTATTGTCAAATTAGAACATGTTGGTGTGACCCATTTAATAGGAAGTAATAATAATGTCCTCCAGACCGAATTTTGGTCACAGTGGTCAGTCTTAGCGGAGCCTACCCATCTGCGCAGGACAGGATGCACGAATGTGTGCGCAAGCACAGGTGCATTTTCTTATCTCTTACTCTCATAGTCCGACGTAACGACGACGACAAACCGACACAACAGGGGAGAGAAGAGAGAACCGGCGCAGGAGCAACGGCTTTACGTGTTTTTCGAAGCACGGGTGTGAAACACCGTCAACTTTTTGACTCCGAGCTGCTACCGAGAATTACTTGACAGAAAACTCTATTTTAGCCTGGCCCGGGATTCTAACCCTGGATCTCATGATCAGGAGTCACGTTTACGACCACTTGGACCAACAAGGCAGTCACAACAAAAAAATTTAAAAAGTTCAGCAAGCATACATAATTTAAGTGCATACGTACCTTCTCGACGCCATCGTCGCCTGTAACGAGCACGTCGAACACGCCGTTCTCAATGACGTAGAAATTGTCACCATCATCGCCCTGACGGATCACGTACTCGCCGGGCTCAGCGCGTTTCTCAAACATGGCGTCCAGCACCTGCCACCAGGAAAAGCCGGTTAGTAAAAGTATAGTAGAATGATAATTTTATCATTATACTTAGTCGGGTCATAAGTTCTGTCAAAATCTTGTTATTTAAAATTTGTGAATACTGGCTAGATGAACTTCACCAATTTTAAAAATATAACGTTTGCGCTTGCTGAAAATAAAAAAAGACATTAATTTTCATTCATTTCCAAATATAGAGTGGTCGAAGAAAGAAGATAGAGTAGCGGTTATCGCGTTGCACCAAGGTGGTTACGCGCTAAAAGAGATTTTCAATATTCTACAAAAATTTAAAATAACCCTACGGTCTGTTTATCGCACTATCGTAAGAGGACCGGCCGACCTCGTACAGTTAGGACACCCGCGATCATCAAAGCAGTGAAGGCGCGAATCCAACGAAATCCTGTTCGTAAACAAAAAATTTTAGCTCTTCAAATGGGCCTAAGCAGAACCACGGTCAAAAGAGTGATCAATGAAGACTTAGGACTACGAGCTTATCGTAAGAAGAACGGACATTTTTTGAACGAGCGTTTGAAAAAAATTAGGCTGGATAGATCCCGCGCTTTGTTACGGCGGTACGCGAGAAAAAATGCCGCGAAATTATGTTTTCGGATAAAAAAAATTTAACATCGAAGAAAGTTGTAATAAACAAAATGATGTATGCCCACAGCAGCGAAGAAACCAGCACGCGTATTTCGAGAGTTCAGCGAGCAGATTATCCTTCGTCATTTATGGTTTGGCTTACGAGTATCATATTCAGGCTTAACTGAGGTGTTTTTCTGTGAAAAAGGTGTAAAAACCAGTGCCGAGGTGTACCAAAATACCGTCCTTACAAACATAGTGGAACTTCTTTCTCAAACAATGTTCAAAAACAGACATTGGATATTCCAACAGGACTCTGCACCAGCTCATAGGGCACGAAGCACGCAAAACTGGTTGACAGCCCGTGGAATTGACTTTATCGGATATGAAGAATTGCCAGTTGTAGTCCAGATTTAAACCCGCTGGAGTACAAGATATGGCAACATTTAGAGCAGAAGGTCTGCGCTAAACCTCATCAGAATTTGGAATCTCTCCGAGCATCTTTGGCTAGAGCAGCGGCAGAAATAGATATGAATGTGGTGCGTGCTGCGATAGATGATTGGCCGCGTCGAAGGGTATGTATTCAAAATAGGGGAGGATATTTTGAATAATGTAAATAAAATTGTATTATCTAAATTAAATTACCTTTCATTTCGTATATAATTTCTATTATAATTATCAAAAAGTGTATCATTAATTTTATAAAAAGTTTTTGACATAACTTATGACTTGACTAAGTATTAAATAAGTGATAGAAACATGCTGTAGCGTGGGGATACACCACGTATGGGTTGGCTCGAACGGGAAACGACCACGCCCACACAGAAAATCAGCGTGAAATAGTAGCACAATTCTACCGTGTTTCGTGTAGTGTGACAATGTTTTTAATGGTAACGAGGCATTCCATCTAATCCTCAGGGGTGATAGCATTTTGATTCTTAATTGAAAAATAGATGTAGGTGCCTAAGAGCCAAAACAACTTACTTCTGTAAAAAAATGGTGGCATAATAAAGTAAATCGACTATGCAAAGAAGTTAAAACTGCCGCTAAATCCGGCTCACACCGAAACAAACTTTTTTTATTCAATATAGATTATAAATAATACTTATTGAAAGTCACTCTTTTATTTAATTACCACTGGTTCGTAAAAAAACCTCTGTCCTGGGAAGAACCAGTAAGAAACCAAGTGGGACTTTTTTTTTAAATAACAGCTTGCAATCACGTATGTTACACAATGAACCACACAAAACAAATTAGAAATAGCTTAGTATTGATCACCTCATTCCCAGGGGTGTATTTCTTAATTTTATAATAACCCTTTTTATACAAACTTAGTTTAATAAAGTTTTTGAACTTTGAGCAGGTCAAATTTTGTATAGTTTCTGAGATTTTGTTGTAAAAGCGTATATATCGCCCCAAGAATGAATTACTGACTCGATGGAGTCGAGTACCTGGTACTACTAGCTTGTGTCTATTCCTAGTATTTTCAGAATGAATATCACTTATTTTTGTAAAACTACTTCTATTTTTGTGTACGTACATTACATTTTCATAAATGTATTGAGAGGCCAAAGTTAATATATTAATTTCCTTAAATAAAGAGAATAATAAGGCGCGTATCTTCATGTCCTTGACGTATTGTATTCCTTGCACACTGCCAATACGTGGGCTCTCTCTGTGTCAGAGGAGCACAAGCCTCCCAGCAGTGGGACGCATATAAACTAAAAATTTATCTTTTAAAGTAAAAATTAAGGTAGTAATCTTTATGCGTTTCATTGGTGCCGGGGGCGCTCGAACTCGGGCACGTGCTATGAAATGTATAGCAAGCGAGCCCCTAAGTTACTATGGCTTACGTTTCCACTACTTTAGAAAATGCCAGAAAATTCCCATGGATTTGGATCGATAACGGTATAACTATCCATTGTCCCCTTTTTTTGCGTAAAATATCCAAATCGACGACAGAAAATTATGTCAAAGATTCAATACATTTCGTAAGACGATCAATGCCCTCTTTTTTTCTGCAAGAGGCCCATAACTCGCAGTGGATTTATTACGAGTAGAAGTAGAAAAAAAATTAATTTGAAACTATAATCCCATGTGCTGAAATTGGTCCCTACTAAATTATATGTGGACATTATAATAATTGCCATTCTTTGCAGGCCGGCTGACCATAACACCATAACAGCTACATTTTCCTTAGTCGATCTTTCAACTCATATATGACATGGGCTTGGCTTGAGTGTTTCGCTGCTGGCATGGCAACATGTAAGCATTATCCACTTAATTTTTCTGTTACTCATCTTCTGATTCATTTCCCTTTGTCGCCTCTTACAACACTCAAGGGATGATAATATGGTTTAGTGGATTCGCTAACGCCATAACGGACTAACTACCAACTACGGTAATTCGAAGTCAGGCCGAATGGTTGCCTCACGTGAAGTTTAAAAAGTATCGCAACTGAAAATCAACGTTAAGTACTTATTTAAATTTGATAACATTGATTACTATAGAAACAGGCGATAAGTCTAAAAATACGAACAGTCAGGAAAATATAATTTGAGGTCAAATTCAAATACAACCTGAAAAACAGTGTAATTTTCTTAGCTGCGTTTACAAAACGATTAGTGTGTTTTTCCGCAGTGAATTGTAACTTCTTGTTTCTATGAGCATTAAGCGAATATTCTGCAGTTTAATGTCTTGTACTAATGTTGTCATTGAAGCACACATAAAAACATTTTGGAACTGAATAATTGTACTAAATATTTGTATGTGGAAAACTATCAAAATAATCTTCAGACTTCTCAACAAAAGGGATGCAATAATAATGATGTATTCGGTACAAGCGTATTTACACATTCTATTTGACAACGGTATTCGTGTCGCCATATGCCAGCGCAGTCTTTCCTTAACATAAATTCAAATTCATGTATTCACGTAATAAACTCAAGTGACACTCTTACACGTCATTGCAGAATATATTGAAGGGGTTTAATGAATACTACTGTGAAGCAAGTGTAAGCAGTTATTGCTTTAATGTAAAGATAAAAGAAAATGAAATTTAAAAAATTATTGACATAAGGTTATACAATAATTTATTATAAGGTATCAATAAAAAAAAATTGAAACCTTATAATAATAAGTCTATATTTTTGGATTCAATTTCTCTAACTTAAATTGAAAATTTAAAAACCCCTGACACAAAAAGTGCTTCAACGTACGTTCAAACGGCTGAAAAGATTTTCTTAAATCATAGCAAAGAAACATATCACACACATCATAGCTAAATTTCACAGTCCTCGAGCAACCCGGGTTCGATCCCCGTCGGCACCAATGAAATTGTTGGTTGCAATTTTAAGTGCTGATTTACCACGTGCTCGGCGGTGAAGGAAAACATCGGGAGGAAACCTGCATGTCTGAGAAATAAGAAAACTAAATTCGAAGACGTGAAGTTCGCCAACACGCATTGGTGCAGCGTGGCAGACATTTCCTTGCCCTAAAACCCTCTCAGAAATGAGGGGAGGCCTGTGCCCAGCAGTGGGACGTATATAGGCTGTAGCTTTAACTTTTTAACTTAATAGCTAAGAACACTCTCGATCAATAAAAAAAAAACTAAATCTAAATCAGTTCATCCGTTTGGGAGCTACTATGCCACAGACAGACACAGATACATACGTTAAACATAGAACACCCCTGTTTGCGCCGGGGGTTAAAAATTGAGCCAAGGACTAATATGAAAACATGTAACAGAAAGCAAATCTCGCATCCAAATAACGCAAATATTAGTCAGTATCTAATCGTCATTATTATCAAAGCATTTTGACGTCTCAACAAAAAGTCACACTATTTTAATTCTACCTGCGTATGGTATGGCAGATGGCACCTACTTATTGCATAAAAATTCATATTTTGTCCGAAGCCTAAGCCAAAGCTTCGGTCGGACACAAGTAAACAAAAGTTTTTTGTAATTTAAGTAAGTTATAGGTAAATTTAAGATCAGTATTTTAAAAACAATACTAGCATCAAAAACTGTTATTATTTTGTATTTAGTATAACCCAACTTTAAGACAATTATGCATATAGCAGTGAGCGACGAGCGAAAGTTATAACGAATATAAACGTGTTTTGCTTAGTAATTGATTGGGTTAAGTATTACTTGCTCAAGTCAAGTGGAAAACGTTACAATCGTCGAACACATCATTATTTTTGTTGCATAAGTTGGGAGTTGTTGACAGGAATAGTGATGTGAAAATCGAGATATTTCTAGTTTTGTTAACAGAATATTTAAACTATAATATGTTACTAATCTAGGTCTACATAAAGCAGTGGATTATGAATACCTATACAGTTATTAAGGCAAGTGAATTGTCATCACAAATTAAATAAAGAAATAGTAAGGTAAGAGACTGGGGCTTCCAATTGTAATTGGATGAGTGTAACAAGTTCACTAAAATAATTAAGAAAAAGTCAAGTAATCATTATAATTAATAGAATCAGGTGTTACTTTGCGGAAATCCATTATATAAAAGCTTTTAGAAAAATTTACTTCGCAAATATCCGTTTTCGCTTCTAGACGACGCATCCTCAGGTGATATAGACTATACGGTAGCTAACCGCTAAGTGAGCGGCGAGCCAAAACAACTGACTTTTATACAGACCGATGACGCAACCGCTCTCTACTTAAGGTGCGAGCGACTGCGTCATGCGATAAAACATGCAACCAATCACCGCCGGACTTACGCAGCCGTTTGTAAAATTAAAAACAAACCGCCGCGCAACGCCCGCCTACCCTCCAACCACACAACCAATCGCCGATCACCGTGAGGGTGGCAAACGACCATATTGCGAGGCTCTCTATTATTAGAGAGCAGGCTTAAAGATATTTAAGAGAGGTGAGTCAGTAACATTTGTTTGTTCATTCAGCAGTGTAACGGTATATTTGCGAAGTAAATTTTTCTAAAAGCTTTTATACAAGTAATTATTAACAAGTTTAGAGCATTGCTTTAATTATAATATATAGAAGATGACAAATAAGCACATAGTCCACCTAGATAAGTAGATGACGCAGCTTATAGCATACTACATCTATCCTCAATTAAGAATTAGAAAAAAAATGTGAATGCATTATTATAACATGTAAAAAACATAAATTGAACGCAGGAATCTCATTTAAATACAACAATGTGCATAATCATAATTTTTTTAGAGTTCGACATTCCTAAAGGGACTATAAAAATTACATCTTGTCGAGAACTATAGCTCAGCAATATTGTCAGCCAGCAAAGTATCGCTGACAATATTAACTTTACAAAGTTATTGTGCATCAATTTGCTGGGTAAATGTCAATTTTGCTTCAACTATATTGACAAGTAATTGAGTTCATAAACGTAAAGTAACATTGAGCGTATAAGACGACTATACAATTTCAACTAGAAAATACTACAAAACTAGGCCATTTAAATAAGAAAAGTCAAAGAAATTAACAGTTTGCCTTTTTTTATTAAAATGACAAATGAACTTAAATTCCACCTGTGTGTCTACTACAGCCCATGAACGGTTGCAACCTATTTCAAATAAAGAAAGTAACAAACGTGTTACTACCTCTAAGGACTAAGATGGAATGCCTGTAATTATATTACACCCTGACTGAAACACACCAATATGTGCAATACTGTTTGACAGCAGAAATAGGTATGGGGGTGATACCTACCCAGATGGACCTCTGGACAGGAAAGAGTCCTACTACCTAGATGGTACACGGCAACTGCAGCTGGTGTTGAGGTTGTTCATGGGCGGCGGTAGTCACCATCAGGTGAACTGCATGCTCGTTGCCCCCTCTTCTATGAAAAAAAAGCTCAGGGATTTTTACAACAAACTTCCAAAGACGGCTATAGGTGCATTATCTACCTGAGAAGTAAGAAGGTATCCTTTACAGTCTCTGACTATACTGACTCTCTATTCCTTCATTGGAACATAACCGTGGAAGCATTAGTTCTACTTGCTCAGACTACTTAATTGTTTGTTGCTGCCTTGCCTAGTCACAATATATAAGATTCTGAAATACCTGCTGCATCTGTTGGGCATCAAGAGAGCGGAACAGTAGGATCCCGCGGACAGCCTCCGCCAGCCGAGCACGTTGGGCGTCCGATTTGGGGAATATGGCTGGAGCTCCTTCATCAGAGTCATCTTCCTCCGGGTCATAGGCCTCCGCAAACACCGACTTACGGCGGTTGTTGAAGCGCGCCACTGGCGGCTCTGGTGAAGATTATGCAAGTCAATTTATGATATTAGGAAAATAAACAAATTTGCAATAATGTTATAGGTTTTCACATAGTTGTAACACAATATCAAAATCATATTAGCATATTTTAGTTGATTTTATGCAGATGCATATTATAATGTGTTTTACTTATACTAAGTTACCAGTATTGAAACTTTATAATGCTAATGAGGCATTCCATCTAAATCAAATTCAAGCATAACTATAAACCATCGTCTCGACAAAGCGAAACAAATATAAACTGTGTTAAGGTATTGATGAATGTAATAATGCACACATAAAATATAAATATGTGCCTAACATGTAAGAATGCAGCATATTTAATTTTATAACATATCAAGTAAAACAATTTTTGCAGGGAATGTTTGATAATGATTTCCCATGTTTACACAAACATTTAAATAAAACTAGTTTTATCAGGTATATTAACTTATTTTATAATAACTTATTGAAATAAGTTAGTATACATGATAAAATTTGTAAAAACTAATTTTATTTAAAGGGAATGTTTGATATGTAAATCAATTATATGGCTACAATGTTATACTTAATACAGCTACATGAAATTACAAACAAAACAAATATTAATGCAGTTGCTAATCACCCAAAAATTTGATGAATAAGATATATTTATTAGGTAGTCGGATAATTTTAAAATAAAATAATATAATTCTTTTAATAATATAATATGTAATTTTTCATAGTTAATATAAAGAATTCTGTTGTATGGAACACACTACTACTTTTCAAAGAGTAGTAAAGTTGTCCCAACAAAAGAATTAACTTGGAAAACCTCAAACTCTCAAAGTAGGAAAGGGAATAATAATATGTTAATAAGCTACTTTTTTGCGTACCTTATACTCAGAATCACCAAACGGTAATCGCTGAAGGTCATACAGGTTTACGCACCAACCTCGGCACACCCCGATGAGGAGGTGGAGGAAATGTATGAGGATATCTCTAGAGCCATGCATTCCTCCAAAACCCACTATACGGTGTTAATGGGAGACTTCAATGCAAAACTAGGCACAAGAGAGAATGGTGAGCTGAAAGTAGGGAAATTTGGAATAGGGCAACGGAACCCAAGGGACCAGCAGCTGGCCGACTTCATGGAGGAAGAGGGACTCTTTATGATGAACTCTTTCTTCCAGAAGCGGCCCCACAGAAAGTAGACCTGGTCGAGCCCCGACGGTTCCAGAAAAAATGAGATTGACTTCATTATGACGACCAGACGACAACTGTTCAGTGATGTGTCCGTGATCGCGAGGGTGAAAACTGGTAGCGATCGTCTAATGAAGTCAACGCTTCGTCCCCCTCGTGCTGTGTTCCAAAGTCCTGAAACCTTTCAGCTCGAGTTACAAAACCGTTTTCAGTGCCTAGAAGACTGCAATGAAGTAGACGATATGAATGACAAGCTCGTGGAAACTGTCCATGCGGTCGGAGCTAAGTTCGGCAAGACCCGCCGCAGAAGAACACAAAAATTCTCCGATCACACTCTCAATCTCATGGCTGTTAGACGGGAGATGAAGCTACATTCTTCAACAGATTTGACAGCATACAGGCAACTGAACAGACAGATCTCCAAATGCATGCGGCGGGACTTACGCAACTTCAATACAGCTTGTATTGAAGAAGCGATCGAGCGGAACCAAGGCTCTAAAGTCTTTGCCAGAGATCTGTCTGCCAGTAAGAGCCAACTGTCGAAGCTGAAGACCGAGTGTGGCAGCATTGTTTCCGGGGCACCTGAGATTTTGAGTGAGATTGAGAGGTTCTATGGGCAGCTTTACACGTCATCGTTGGAGCCACACGCAAGTGTGAGTAACGATCCAAGAGCGAGTCTTATCCGACACTATTCCGAAGATATCCCGGACGTCAGTCTGAGCGAGATTACAATGGCTCTCCAGCACCTTAAAAACGGCAAGGCCTCAGGCGAGGATGGAATTACAGCGGGGCTTCTGAAAGCGGGTGGAAGACCGGTACTTGAAGTCCTTCAGAAGCTCTTTAATTCCGTCCTCCATGGTGACATTACACCGGAGGCGTGGAGCAGAAATACGGTGGTCTTGTTTTTCAAGAAATGCCTCTTGAAGAACTACAGACCGATTTCCTTTCTGAGCCGCGTCTACGTGCTGTTTTCGAGAGTCATTACGAACCGTATCGCGCGCAGACTTTACGACTTCCAGCCTCCCGAACAAGCCGGTTTTCAAAAGGGCTTTAGCACCATAGACCACATACATACCCTTCGGCAAATAGTACAGAAGTCCGAAGAGCCACTATGTCTGGCGTATGTGGACTATGAGAAAGCCTTTGATTCCGTCGAAATTTATGCGGTGCTGCAGTCCCTTCAGCGGTGCCGAGTTGACTGTCGGTATATCGATATATCGACAGTCAACTCGGCGAGTCGGACAAATAGTCCGACTAGGTAAGTCCAACTTCGACCGAGAGGTCAATCGACGGATTCAACTCGGCTGGGCAGCGTTCGGGAAACTACGACACATCTTCTCGTTAGACATACCTCAAAACCCGAAAACGAAATTGTACAACCAGTGCGTGTTGCCAGTGATGACTTACGGATCTGAGACGTGGTCCTTCACTGCTGGCCGTATGAGGAAGCTCAAGGTCGCTCAGCGAGCTATGGAAAGGGCTACGCTCGGGCTTTCTCTGCGTGATAAACTTAGAAATGAGGATATACGAAGTAGAACCAGAGTAACCGACATATCCCAACTGATTAGTAAGCTGAAGTTGCAGTGGGCCGGCCATATAGCTCGAAGAACCGACAACCGATGGGGAAGAAAGGTTCTCGAGTGGCAGACTCCAGTACCAGTAGGCGAAATGTAGGGTGACCCCCCACTAGATGGAGTGACGACCTTGTAAGACATGCAGGAAGTCGATGGATGCAGATGGCTCAGGACCGTGCTTTGTGGCATTCCTTGGGGGAGGCCTATGTTCAGCAGTGGACTTATGAAAGGCTGTAATGATGATAATGATGAAGCTACTTTTGCTGATTTTACTTAAAATCAGTATAAGCTTTCGTATTTTATAGAGTTTACATTATAAATGTGTTTTAATAATTGATATCATGTACATAAACAAGAAGCGACTTTAGCTGCCATCAGACTCAAGACCCCTAAATCTTTGGAGTAAGAATAGAGTCCCTCATACAGGCATAATTGATAGAATTCACTCAAAAATTCCTATCTTACAAGCCAAGTACGATAAAATTCCCAAACAATTTGTATTCGATAAGAAGTATAAGATACAATTAAATGAAACCAGCCAGCCGGAAGGATTAAGCCCAAAAGAGCTTAGAGTTTTCGCCGATGGTCCTAAAACAAATGAAGGTGTTAGGTTCTGGAACTTTCTCTGAAGACCTCAATATCCACATATGCACACCGCTGGGTACCTATAACACAGTCTTTCAGGCGGAATGTATAGGTATCATTCAAGCGGCCATTGCAATAGATGCGAGGAAGGTTAATGACTCCCCCATCAGAATACTGACCGACAGTAGGGTGGTACTACAAGCTCTGAGTTGCAATGTGGTGAACTCTGGTCTAATATATGAATGCCATCAATGATTAAATGAGGTATGTAAAAACAACAATGTGACTCTGCAATGGATAAAGGGACACAGTGGATCCAGAGGCAACAATGCAGCAGAGGAACTGGCCAGAAGAGGATCGGCTCTGGCCACTATAGGGCCGGAACCAATCATACCAATCCCCTTTGGTAATGTTCGTTCACTGGTATGTAGACACTTCACTAATCTACACGCTCAGCTTTGGAAAAATCTAGTAGACTGTAGACAAGCTAGGGAGGCCCTGCCTGAAATAAACAGTTGTTTAACCAAAGTTCTAATGAGACTGAACAAGCTGCAGATCAGGATAGTAACAAGTGCTATTATAGGACATGGCAACTATAACAAGCATTTATTTACTATAGGTGTTACAGATAGTCCCCTGTGCAGGGCATGTATGGAGGAAGAATAAACGGCGGCCCATGTGATATTGAAATGTCCGGAGGTTGCTACGTACAGGGCTAAACATCTCGGCATGCCGGGATCACTCCCCGAAGTTGCATGCAACATCAAAGGACTGTTGAGCTTCTTCGGGGAGATTTCATGGCTCAAATAAGCATATTATTCCTGCACACACGCAAAATACGCGCATACATGTGGAGTTGCGGAAAACAGCCCGTCGTAAACTAAACTAACTAAACATATTATGTTATATAAATTCTCCATTTAAAAATATAATTGTTCCTTGTTTATATTTATCAGATATATATTTAAATTTATCAGTCCAATAAAAGAAATCTATTTGTTTGATTGCAAATAGATATTACTGATATTATCATAACTAATAATACAAAACTAATGCTTAATATTAAAATTATAATTCTATGACAGCAATAACATTGTATGAATAATATTTTAACTTTCTAAAACTGTCTTCTTTAATAAAGTGAAGCAAGATGTCCACAGGGTCCAAGGAGCCAACAATCTAAGTAAACATTATTGTATAAGTTTTCAATTCATCTTCAATGAGTTAGGATAAGGGAAATTTACAAATTATTGCACACCACATAACCCGAAGCATTATTAGGTAGTGCTATACTCTCGACACGTAAAGGTCAAGCAATTTTGTGTTCTCAAAAAGCCTCTATCATAACCATATTGCATTTATACGATAATATAAGAATCTGTATATCAAGAAAACACTTATATTTTCTAAAAAATCATTTTATATTGCTACTTTGAAAAGAAACGGTTTGACAAAATCTTACATGGATGTCCAGATGTTGATTTTGTGGTCACTATAACTCCCGAAAAAAATCACGTATTGAGACCAGGTATCTTTTTAGCTTCGGAATTACATCAACTGGTTCCCCTATTTCATATCAATAGCTAGTAAGCATTGTTTGCTAATAAAATTATTTTCAACTTTTATTGCTATTAAAAATTTAAAGGCAATTCATATAGGTGTTTTAGCCCTTGATATACAAAGGACAAATGTACTAGCCTATATTGATTTTATACTTTGTGTATTCAATTTATTTTGGTAAACCATTATAATTTTTCCCTGTAGGTGACACTACCTGTTAAAATAATAGAGCGATAAATTTAAAACAAATAATATATTTTAAAAGTCAGGAATATAATTTAAACTTTTTACCAAAATTTAAATGAAACGCTCATGAGGCGTGTACTTTTGGATTTTCCAAACTATTTATTCTAGTTCTTTATTATATATTATATTATTGCAAAAGACAATATTAACAACAATAACATACTGTTAGCATTAATGGAGATTTTAGATGAATTCTCATACTTCTCTTTCTGAAAATAATTGCAGAAATGTATCCATCTATCTAGGAAAAATCTGCAGTGCCGTTACAACTAGGCACAATCTATTGCAGTTGGTTAAACTTAGATCTATTCAATTTATTCATGGCTAGTGCAGCTAGTTGCTTTCAGGTAAAACTAGGTGTCATCATCATCAATACAGCCCTTCACAGTTCACATTTTCTTGTTTCTTTTGTTTGTACAGTAGGGCTATCCGAATACAGAATCAGAGTAAGGCCTAAGCACTATACTCAATGACCTCAATAGTGTCTCCGAACGAATAGGTCTTAAGATGAACATGGACTAAATAAAGATCAAGTTTAATGTCCATGTCACACCTATGCCAGTAGTTGTTGGGAGCACTAAGCTCTTATGGCTGTTAGACAGGAAATGAAGCTGCAATCTTTAACAGATTTGACAGCATACAAGCAACTGAACAGACAGATCTCCAAATGCCTGCAGCAGGATTTACACAACTTCAATACAGCTTGTATTGAATAAGCGATCAAGTGGAACCAGGGCTCCAAAGTCTTTGCCAGAGATATTGACAGATCTAGATTGGTATCCCAGACGTCAGTCTGAGTGAGATTGGAATTACTCTCCAGCACCTTAAAAAGGCAAGGCCCTAGGTGAGGATGGAATTATAGCGGAGCTTCTGAAAGCGGGTGGTAAACGGGTACTTGAAGTGGTGGTGAAACTACTCCGGATGCGTGGAGCATAAGTGCGGTGGCCTTGTTCTTCAAGAAAGGCGACATCGCTCTCTTGAAGAACTGCAGACCGATTTCCCTTCTGAGCTGTCTCTACATGCTGTTTTCGAGAGTTATAACAAATTGTCTCTTGCGCAGACTCAATGACTTCCAGTCTTCCGAACAAACCGGTTTCCGAAGAGACTTTAGTACCATAGACCACATACACACTCTTCGGAAAATTGTACTGAAGACAGAAGAGTACAATCTGCCACTTTGTCTTGTGTATGAAGACTATGAGAAAGTCTTTGATTCCTTCGAAATTTGGGCAGTGCTACAGTCCCTTCAGAGGTGCCAAGCTGACTGTCGGTAAACTAGATATAGTAATGTCCAAATAATAATTGATATGTCTATGACATTTATTAACTTTGTCTAGCAAAAGCACCTATCAAGTTATATCAGCAGGAGTAGGTTAATAACTATGACTTCTGTTGAATTTGGCGAAAATGCAGAAGCAGCTATCAAGTAATATCAACTACAGTAGGTTGAAGTGTGGCTGAAAGGGTCTTTTGGGCACCCCAAAATTGTAGGCATTGTAACATTGATGAATTTTTCCAACAAATTGAATACACCTAGGTCAAGCCAACAGACATATTATTGTACCTAATCACTACTTACTCATTTAGATAAATTATCCTATATCATAAGAGCAAATTTAAAAGACCTACTTATAAATAGCAAATATACTTTTCAAGTTAGCACCTATTTATATGATGTGATATATTTGAAGCTTATTAATTTTAGTGGAAGTAAAGACTGGAAATGAGTTGGGGTGTGTCTCAAACTTTAGGTCTAGTCAGTTTGAATAGCCTATCATATAGAGGATGTCATGGAGGTAATGGTTGAATAGGGGCAAAAAGTTTTCATTACACTCCTAGAGAGTCAAAATGTCCAAAAACCAAAAAAATTATAATCCTTATTTTGGCTATAACTTCTCCTCCTTCGGAAGTTCTTACAGTCTTTACTTCCCATATCCTACTAGTTTGATTTAGAAAAATGTCAGAATAACCACCTGATGTTGGCAGACATAAATTAGATGTGAAGTTATTTATATACTATAATTACAAATGCTCTAGATAAATTAAACTCCTTAGCTTATGAGAGGCACACATCACATACAATGGATCTTAAATACTTAATATTCTGACAATGGATTTTATTCCTAAAAACTGTATTTTTTAAACTTTGTCCAAATATTATATATACGCAACTCAAGATTTTCTATCTCACAGACAAAAATATTTTTAAGGGCTAGAAAATAAAATTTATTGATATGCAAAAAAATGAAATCCCAAACTAGTAATTCTAATTTATTTATATGCAGAAAGCTTGTCCCATCACACAATTTCAAAGTTTAAAAGAACAAACACACAAATGGGATCAGTGTATAGTAAACAGTGAAGATTTATGTTTCAGCAAACAATTCCACTAAACACTAGCATGTAAGCTTTAATTATAGTAGTGAGTTAGTATAAAAAGTCACTTATCATTCAAAATTATTTAAATAGCTTGAGATTTTAGGAACGCAAACAAATTAGTGCTAAAATTTTCAATTTAATAACTTAGTTGATATAGGTCAGCTGTTTAATACTGTAGTTACCATCAGTTGAACATTTTTCATCTAAAATATTTTATGTCATTGAACAGGACAGTAATGGCATCATGCCAAAGATTAAACTGAGGATTATTTTGAGCACTTGATATAAGTATGTAAATATTTTATCTCTATATTAAGATGCAAAAGGTTTAGAAACCTAATTCTTTATTAACAAAGGTTGGTACATGATGTAACAATTAGTAAGAAATTAATAGATGGAAGAGAGATCCTGAAAATGGACCATTTCTCACTTAGGTGAATTTAAACTGTAAATTTCAATTCATATAATTGTACACCAAGTAGTATCTCTGATGATATTCTGTTTATATATGTATAAGAAAATATAAGCACTGATCTAGCCTTACAGAACCCACCTTGATTGCAAGTGTTTCAATAATTATCTCAAATTTGTGTGATGGTGTAAAGAATATCAGTAAATGAGTACCTTCTTCATCTGATATTATGGATTCATCGGGCGTGCCGGCGGATGGGCCTCTCACTATAGTTGTGGTCCTGTTGTTCTGTAACCTTGTGAAGAACTCGACAGCGTAGTTGATTACGTCCCCTGGTTGCTCCAGCAGATAACTTATGGTAAATTCCAGTAAGATCTCTCTAAGGTCATCTGGGACTTGAATTCGACCGCCTTGAGGCCTGCTCATTTCTAACGACGTCGCCTCGTTTTCTCGTTACTATCTCGCAAGGAGAACGTCAAAGCGACTCGTTAGATTACAATTTTAATATCATAGCCATTGAATTAGCTAAAGCGACACACCAACGAACAAATCCTACGCAGGGTAGTAGCACTACATACAAACGTTAGTAGTAAATAAAACCACACTATTAAACTAAGACTTTCGCAAAAAATGGTCTTTGCTACTAAAAATGAAATATAATGACACACTTTTCAGAAAAAAACCCTCGTCCTCCAGCCTGTCAACTATAAAAATCTCCTTTCACTGAAAAGTAAAAATGGCGAACTCTGGATTGCCCTACTTCTCATTCTCATCACTAAATTACTTCCATAGACCATAGAGTAGAGTAAATCACATCAATCGTTTAAACAATGTTACCAACAAAAGTTTTTGAAGCCAAAGAGTAGGTATGACTAGTTCAAAGCTCACTACCCATGTTATATACACAACGTGTCCCGTAACTCAACGTCAAGCGGGCACGGGCCGAGAAAGGGAGGGGGTCATACCAGACCCGGGAAAAATAATAAAAAAACAATATCAAAGTTAGTTCAGTTAGAATTTACAAATTTATGAAAATTAGGAAAATCGACTCCTTAGATTATACATTAGGTATTGTGACCACAAATTTCTTAATTTTACAGGGATTTTTTCACTAATGTGGTCTTAAATAAACTTGCTGTTAATCGCAGTCACAAATCGAGCAAAAAAAAGTTGGCTAGGTTAGGTAAAATTAATGTAGTTTCTTTTAGTCGTAGCTGAAAAAATAAGATCACCTAACTTTTTACTATTTATTAAAAAAACGTACTCTTCTATCCTAAGCAAGTTATTTTAAAAGATCACCTATTTATCCTAGATTCCAAAATAATACATGCCACTCTTATCATCCATAAAAAATAAAATTTATTTGATTTTCTGAAATAAGACCTAAAATCAGTTCCACACCTACACCACAATACATTTTCATCTATTAAATATTGAATTCAACAAGTGCAAATGAGACAGAAACGTTTTTGAATGAAACAGATAATGACGCTATTTCATGTGAGTTAGAGCGAGACAGGTAGAGATGCTATTTGATATTCGACCAAATCATGTTAGATTGGATTTAAAAATGCAATATTATCAATAAATTATGAGACTATTTTATTTTAAGTAATATATCTCTATGTATATATAGAGGTCAGTGATTTAGTGGTTTTCACAATGGCCTCAAATTTCAAACTATGTAATAAAAATATTTTTATGTCATTATTTTTTTTTTCAAATATAATTACAATCATGACACAAATTATAATATATTATGAAAAGGTTTATGCCCTTTTGTCACTTAGGAAAAAAGTAATCAAATTATTTTCAATTTAGTGGTATAATAATATATATTGCGTAATATCTAATCACTTCTTTAGATTTATTATACGTGTACCTAGCTAAAATATCTTTAGGTCTGATAGAACCATCAGCAACCACATTGGCAACAAGCTAAAAAAAAAGGAAAAACAGGAAACCCCTTTTTCATACTCTAGTGAGCGGATAAAAAGTTGCCTATATGTTATACTTGGTCATTTACTATCTACATACAAAATTTCACGGAAATGCGTTCGGTAGTTTTTGCGCGAATCGTAAACACACAACTTTTCTACATATTTATTATATGTATATACCTAGTCAGGTCATAAATTCTGTCACATGTTTAATATAAAATAATTGATACAAGTTTATTCATTATGTAACCATTTATATACCAAAATGAACTTAACAAAACATAGATTCTTATGACACTGACACATAAACTTTATTATTCAAAATGACCTCCGTATTTTGAATACAGGCCTTCAATCTGCGCGGTCAGTCGTCGCAGCACGAACGAGGTTCATGTCAATATCGGCGGCTGCCTTAATCAAGGATGTCTTGAGTGACTCCAAATTGGGAGGAGGCTTTGAGCACGCCTTTTCCTCCAAGTGTTGCCATATTTTGTAATCTAACGGATTCAAATCTGGACTGGAAGAGGGCCAGTCTTCGTGCCGGATAAGTCGATTTCACGCACCGCCAGCCAGTGTTGTGTGCTCTTCGCTCTATGAGCTGGCGCCGAATCTTGTTGGAATACCCAGTGCCTGTTATTGAACATGGTATGAGAAACAGGTTCCACAAGGTTCGTCAGGACTGTATTTTGATACACAACTGCATTAATTTTTGCACCTTTCTCACAAAAATGTATCTCTGTTAAGCCCCAATAAGAAACTCCCAACCATACCATGAGCGAGGATGGAAAATGACCTCGTTGGACACGCGGAATACGGTTGCTCGCTTCTTCACTACTGTGTGCGTACACCTTATCATTTTGTTTGTTGTAGCTCTCTTCTACGGTAAAATTTTTTTCATCCGAAAAAAGAATTTCCCGATATTTTTTTCCCGCGTACCGCTTCAACAAAGCGTGGCATCTCTTCAGTCTCAGGTCCATTAGACGAGCATTCAAACGATGTCCTGTTTTTCTTCGATATGCCCGAAGCCCTTCTGCTTCTGCCTAAGTCTTCATTTAACACCCTTTTCACCGTGGTTCTGCTTAACCCCATCTGAAGGGCCAACAGTTTCTGCTTAAGTTTGGGATTTCTTTGAATTCGCGCCTTCATTTTATCACAGCTGGAGTCCTAACAGACCGAGGGCGACCACTTCTTGACCTGTCATCTACACCAGAGTCTTCATTGTATCGTTTGATGGTACGATAAACGAATCTTTTGGTTATATTCAAATTTTTCAGTATGTCAAAAATTTGAATTGGTGCGTAACCGCAACGATGCAACGCAATAACTGCAACACGGTCTTCTTTAAGCGTCCACTTCATATTTAAAAATGAGTAAAATTCGAAAAAGTATACAGTTTTATTTTCATGACCAATTCGAAATTCGAATTCAATAAACTTTTTTGTGGCCAGCATTCTAAAAGAAAAGTTTTTACTGTGTGACAATACTTATGAACTGACTAGGTACATAGGTTTGTTAATTATGGAATATTTTTAAGAATTTGCTCGCGTGCAAATTAAAATAGCCTAAGGGAAATTTTTTACGCTTGGTGGAGTAAACAATAATCATTTTTCAAAGAGATATGACTATTTGAAATATAATAAAATGGGAAGTTCTATTTCGATTTTTTCTGGGAAAACGAAAAACGGGCTTATAAAATAATTTACGTAGGCCGAAAGGGCAAATTAAGATCTATAATATGAGATTGTTTTTGTTTCAAAATTTTAAAATTTGTAGGCCGGAACGTACCCGGTCATGATTTCGAAATATTTTCATCCAAGCAGATCAAGCTTTATTGATTATCGATGGTCGTCGATAGTCGATGGTTTTCCGTTTAGCAAGTGGAAGCAAAATCTATATAAATTAAAATCATTTGCCGCATGTATGAAAGATCATCGCTTGAGAACATCCAACTCGCTTATGTACCGTGTGTCTTTCAAGACTTAGTATTCCTATCTGCCTAAATATTATTTTTTAAAGTTTATGAAACGAATATTTGCTATGTAATATAATAATTATACTCACTTGATTTAGAAAACAATTTACTTGATCGTTCGAAGAATAATAAGTCTAGTGCTATTTTCTTTATATTTTGAGACTTATAATAAAGTAATAAAAATAATTAACTAAACAAAAACGAGTATATCGATGTCGATTGTTGTTAACATTGCGAACGAAACCACTATAGACTAAAGACGTCATGTCTTGTAAAGTAACATGAAGTTAAAAGTTATAAAGATGGAGACCACACTCCGAATACCTACTTGAAGCTAAACCTATGTATTACTATCTCGCTCTCTGTGGGCAGGCCCTCCCTTTCTAAGTAGGTAACCTTTATTTTATTTTTCCCAGGATATCGCTATAAGTAGTTGAGTTACATTAAGTGTTTTATTTATAAATATCTATATCTCTGTTTACTACTAAGTCCTAGCCTACATAGATTATATATTTTTGTACAATTTTTTTTGGGAATTGACTAGTTTTATGAAGAAAGGTTTTCATTTCCATGGGCAGAACCGGTATTAAAATATGACCACGCATTTCCGTCACAACCCATATAATGCCGAGCCTATTTAGAAAATGTGGAAAATAAATATATCAGAGAATATTTTATAACTACCATTTCGATAATGTATTTTCTGGTTATTGTATACAATTCCTAAACGGTACCAACGAAATATAAAATTAAAATTTATTATAACCCCGGGTGATCAATGAATTGGGCAAAATATACCTGATTTATTGTTCAGACAGACTAAATCTATTTCTGGACAATTATTTTAAAAAAAATATCACGAGGACTAAAGCAGCGTAGCGGACCTCCTGCCTTAGCCTTCTGACCTAACCCATCCGAGTCAGGCTGCTCTGAGCTGAAATGTGTATAATACTATATTCCACACATCCAGTTCATTTTAAGAATTATCTACAATTCCTAGGAATTCTATATAATAACGGATTTCATAGATTTCTAGTAACATATGTACTATAATAGGAACGATAATATATTATTATTTTGAGTTGTTATCAGGAAGATGCCACTGCCCATCTCCTGTTTCATTTTCCCTCTGACACCTCTTACAACACCCTCGGAACGATATGGGGTAGTGGATATTCTCACACCACCACTACATGGTTTGTTAAAAACCTTAAAGAAATAAAGAAAAACACTTTCCATATTAAAATGATTTATTGAATTTTTCACACCATGTGGATTTTTGAAGTCCTTACAGATATGAGTAAAGCGGCCTTGAATAATATTTTCAATTTCTGACTGACCCATATACTTTTTAATAGTGTCCATTAAAGAAGACCTATCCTGAATTTTTTAGTTTGGCGCGCCACTTTTTGCTTAAGAATCTTAGTTTTCGTCTCAAGTATTTCTTCTTTAGTACACTTTATTTTCACTTGCATGCCGCTATCAATCTTCGCGGGATCGTCGTATTCACTGCT